CATAGTTGTCACAAACATATTTCCAATAATTACAGAACGTTGACGAATTATTCATAATACTCAAGAAATAATGACAATTTATTCTCAATATTACCTGACATCTATTTGTTTGTCTTGCTTTTCTTGCTTTTCTTGTTTTGGCTTTTTCGGCGAGCCGAGCCTGATGAACGAAGGGAACTCGCCAGCTCAAGAGCGCCCCAAGAAGGCCGGATAAGCAAGACGGCCGACGACGACGACGACGACGGCGGCGACGACGACGACGCCGACGTCGACGACGACGAAGACGACGACGCCGACGCCGACGCCGACGACACAGACGACGACGACGTCGCCAACGAAAACGACGACGAGGGAGGAGGGAGGACGACGACGGCGACAACGGCGACAACGACGACAACGACGACAACGACGACAACGAGGGAGGAGGGAGGACGGCGACGACGCGAGCGACGAAGAAAGAGGAAGGACGGCGACGACGACGACGACAACGACGAGGGAGGAAGGAAGACGACGAGACGACGACGACTGCGACGAAATAGGAGGGACGACGACGAGACGCCGACGACCGACGACGACGACGACGAGGGAGGAGGGGGAAGGACGACCACGGCGACAACGACGACGGAAACGACCATGACGCCAAAGAGGACGACGACGACGAACACGAGGAAAGACAGGACGACGTAGGCGACGACGACGACGACGACGCGGGAGGAGGGAGGACGGCGACGACGACGACGAACACGAGGAAAGACACAGGACGACGTAGGCGACGACGACGACGACGCGGGAGGAGGGAGGACGGCGACGACGACGACGACGACGACGACGACGACGCCGCAAGAGCGCGCGCGCACGCTTTCGTTGAAAATCCGTGTTGCGAAACCTTGTGCTTTTGTACGTTTTTTGGACGCGCGATTTTGAAATCCTTCCGAAACCGATTTGTTTTGAAGAATTTCGGCGTACGCGCGCGACGACGAGCGCGTCTGCACTTCGTCCCATTTTTTCACAGGATTCTCGCGACGGCACACGCGCAAGGGCGTCCGACAGATTTCGACATGCGCGCGCGACGTCCGTTTGGTAGCATGTTGTGAAAATATTGAAAAACCTATGGTTTCTTAAGATTTCGCAAGAGCTCGCGCGGAAGCTTTTTCTTTATTCGCAAATCAGTGTTACGAAACCATGTGTTTGTGGATGTTATTGAATCGCTTCGCTCATGCCGCCGGCCCTGGAGCCCTCTTTAGGGCCTCTTGGGGGCCTCTTGGGGACCTCTTGGGAGTCTCTGGGGGCTCCTTGGCGGCGTTTTGGAGGCCCCCAGGGCCTCTTGGGGGGCTCTTGGGGGTAGTCGATTGCGGCTCCCCCCTCGGAGGCCACGATCCTCGTGAGGGGTGTCGAAAAATACCCTCCCCTGGAGTGGTCTGGTGGCTTCTCCCGGGCTTCTCTCGGGACCTTGCCGGGGTACTTTTCGTCCGGGGGCCCCCAGGGGCCGCTCCGCGCGCGCGAACTAGAAATATTGTTAACAAGTTACCGGAGATCTTAGCACGCCTCTGGCCCGTTGGGCCGGCGAATTTGGGAACTCGATTGCGAAATCCTTCTGGCTCTGAGGGTTTTTGAAGGATTTCGGCATGCGCGCGCGACGACGCGCGCGTGTGCACTTCGTCATTTTTTTGCAAGGGATTCGCGAACAAATGCTATGTTAGAACAACAAATGTCACCGCATAGTGTTTTTACAAGGGAACCTCAGGGGGTGGATACCGGTCGGCCTGGGACATTGCGATTTCATATTTAAGATGGACATGTGGTCATAATCATACGTGATTTACATACCCGAAAGGGGGGCGATAACTCCGGGGGGGGGTAGAGTCCATTGTTCTTTTGGAAAGGGGAATCAATCACTTGCTCAACTTGAAGCTGTCCTCTCCACTGCTCGTGCAAACGTCCCACCCTCCCACCCGCACTTGGTCGCAGAACCCATGCAGGACCGAGCACAGGTATCGCTCCGGGGTCGTCTTGGAGCCCTTGGGGGCGTCTCAAGAGCGCCCCAAGAAGGCCGGAGAAGCAAGACGGCAAAAGCCGCCTGTCTCCATTCCCCCCGAGATGAGTAAGCCAACTGAGATCCTCTAAGTGCAAGCACTGTTTGGGGAACTTGTTCGCCGCCGCGTGCACTATTGCGCGTACCTGCGCGAGTACGAGTTTCCTCGCCCTGGTCAGATGGTGTGGACTGGGGCCGCAGAGGCACGTTCAAAAGCCAATTCGGCCTACGGGATGGGTGGCGATGCTCGTGTGCCTGTCCATTGCACTAGCTTCCTTTGTCGTGAGGCCTCTGCCGTGCCGCTTGCTCCTCGCAAGACGAATCGTACATGAATGTCTGGGCGACAAAGAGCTAAAGCGCCTCGGCTTGTGATTCGTCCCTTCCCTCCCGCCTCCCCATCCAGAGGTTCCAGATCACACCTTCAGACGAAAACGCTGAAGTGCCCCGACGCTCGAATCCTTCCACCCCAGCGCACGCGCGGATAAAGACGATTAGATCGGCCCCATGTCACGTCGAGGTGAACCTTGAAATTTCCGTTTCAGCCTAATTCAGTCTAGTGGTTATCGAGGACGCCGGCGGCGCATCACCGTCCGTTCTTTGGGAGTCTGCCGAAGTGGCGCGCAGCGTCGAAAGTCGTGACGCGGCGCGTATGCCAGCTATCAAATGGCCGTCGGCCCATCCCGCGACCGTGCTTGGGTTTTGGGTCGGAGTCCTCATGGACGCTTCTTCGGGTCTCTCGAGAGGGCTCTCGGGGCCTCTGCGGGGGAGATTAGGGGCCTCTTGGGTGCCTCCTGGGGGCTCCTTGGGAGCCTCTTGGGGCCCTCTTGGGGGCTCTTGGGGGCCTCTTGGGAGCCTCCTGGGAGCCTCCTGGGGGCTTCTTAGGTCCTCCTGACTGAAAGCTCGAAATGTCCGCCGTCCTGGGGCCCTCTTGGGCCGTCCCTGGGGCCTCTTGGGCCGTCTTGGTGCCCTCCTGGGCCGTCTTGGAGCCCTCTTGGACGCATGTTGGGCCGTCGTGGGGCGATCTTGGGGGCATCTTGGGCCGTCTTGGAACGTGGGTAAGCCGAAATGGCGAGAACGTGCAAATCTGTCAAAAACCACTGAAAAATCAATATTTTTTGCGTCTTGGGGCTCTCTTGGGGGCTTCGAGGCCTCCTGGGCCGTCTTGGAGGCGTCGTGGGCCTTCTGGAGGCCATCTTGGGCTTCTTGGAGCGATCGGGTTCCGTCGGGAGGCTTAGGCTCTCTTGAACTGCTCCGGACTCGCTTGGACCGGCTTGGGGCGCCCTTAGGTCGTCCCTGGGCCGTTTGAGACCTTGAGGTCGAGGGGGGGCTGGCGGCAGAATGGGGCCCCCTCGGAGGGAGTTTCAGGAAGGTTTTTGACCAGGCACTGGCGAATAGGGCGAAAGACTGCGCCAAACACTCTGTCAGAGAGGTCTCGCACGGCCCAACCCGCCGGGCGGGAGCGGCCGGATCCGTAAGGATTTCGCCCCCTGCCGTTGGCCCCCTTTCTATTATGACGGGATGCATGAGGGCTATATTCGGGTTAATATTGATGATGGTGATGCGGATCATGATTATGATGATGATGATGATGATGATGATGATGATGATGATGATGATGATGATGATGATGATGATGTTGATGATCATGATCATGATGGCGAGTGAGTATGATGATGCTGATGACGATGATGTTGATGATTGTGATGGTGGTAGTGATGATGCTGATGCTGATGATGATGATGATGATGGTGGTGGTGATGATGATGACGACGATGACGAGGACGAGGACGATTACGAGGATGGTGATGCTGATGCCAATGCTGATGCTGCTGATGATGATATGATGGTGATGGAGATGATGATGATGATGGTGCTGATGATGATGATGATGCACATTGCAATGACGATAATGATGATGATGGCTGTTCTGTTCGCATTGTGTATAATCGAAAAGCTGCGCAATAATTTGAAGCAACATGAGTTCATCCAGAAACGATATGTCCATGAGGAGGAGTAGGAGGAGGAGGAGGAGGACGAGGGGCATGGAGGATGCGCGAGGAGCAGGAGCGCACGTTACAATGGATCGTGGCCTCGGAGTCGCGAACATTCGAGATGTATGAGGGGTCATTGCTTCGGAAACGGGCATAGCCTTTGGTGTGCGAGGGGTCACGGCTTCGGGGACGCAGATTTGGCGTAATGTACAAGGGATTGTGGCTTCGGGACCGCGAATCCCAGTTCATTTACGAGGGATCGCGGCCTCGAGGACGCGATTCTTGCGCCACTAACGAAAATCATGGCCTCGGGCACGCGCATATTGCGTAACATTATATGGATTGTTGCCTCGCGGACGCGAAGGTAGCATAACGTATGATGGTTTATGTTTACGCGGGCGCAACTAGAGGGATCGTGGTCTCGAGGACGCGACATTAGCGTAATGTGCAAAGGTTTCTGACTTTGGGGACGCAGTTCTTGTATAAGTTACGAAGGATTCTGGCCTCCGGGACGCAGCACTGCGTAATTATTTGTGGGTATGGCTTCGGTGATGCGAGCACGGTGTAATTCACAATGGTTTACGGCCTCGCGGACGCAACTGTCGAGTAATCTACGAGGGGGGACGTGTACATGGTATAAGTTTCAACGGTTTACGGCCTCGGGCACAGGACTGTCGTGATATTTGCGAGGGTGAATTGGCTCGGAGGCGTCATGCATTACATGTCCCACGACCCACCAGGAATTCTTGGACCCCCCGGAGGGCGTTGTATTTTTTCGTTTGGAGCTGCCCCCTCGCGCGGACAAATTGTAAACTGGAACTTGCGCAGGGAGCAGCAAGCCTAATCTGCGCAGACTGGTGGCTCCACAAGGGGGCCAGCGGACTCCCCAAATTACAGATAATCAAAACCCGCAAACAAGCGCGCGGACAAAACGAGTCAATTTCCCTCAAGCAAGCCCGCGGATAAAAACGGGGAAGGTGATGCACACAGAGGCGCTGCCTGAGGACGACATCGCGAGTCAGGCCGCCCCCCCCGCCTCGCCGCTGCACGCAAAGACAAGTTGAGAGCCTTCGGCCCCGCTCGCGAGGACCTCCTCAACGCTCCTCCTCCCGACGGCGAGAAGGGGCGGGCCTTCTCAGAAGGTTCGGAAGGCTTCGGGCCTTCTGAGAAGTTTCTGAAGCCTTCTCTTCAGAGACCCAGAGCTCCTCTCAGGGCACGAAGGCTTCTGAGAAGCCCCGCCGCCTTCTGAGAATGCCTGCTCCTTTTCACTGCCCCCCCGGGCACGCCGCCGATCCTCGCCGCCTCCATCGCGCAGAGAGGGCAGAGCGAGCGGGGGGGGGGTCGATCCCTGAGGACACTGACGCTTTCCGCCTTGACCGTCAGAAGAAGAACGACCCGGGGCGTGACAACCAGTCCCCCGTGCTTTGGGTCCCGCGTGCCGCACGAAAGTCGATCCGCCGGAGCCCTAGGTGCCCTCCACCGTGCCCATCGTTCGCTGAAGGTGGTTTCATACCTACGCTAGGCGCCTTCCTGTTTTCGCAAGCAGCTGGCTTTCCCGTTACCTGCCTGATCAGGGGGCGGGTGGATATTCAATGCTATTTTCGACGTTTTTCTGCTCAATGTTTTTACCCACTTCTGTTGGACGCTGGTATCCCATGGTCTCTCTGTGGCCCGTCCTGAGTTCGAACGACTCAAAGAAAATATGGCATCGTGGAAAATGATGGCCCGAGCCGCAGACTCCAGGCCCCAGTGCCCTGCGGGATCTCTCGGGCAGCATCCGCGAGGGCCCCAGAATGGGGCTCGAAACTCACGCGAGATTGCCAGGTGCGAAAGAGTCGCGATGGCCAGATCTCAAGGTACTACCGCTTGTCGCTGGCCTTCGGCTTCTCCCAGCGCCCCGAGATATTGGGCCTTCATTATTTGAGGTTCTCGCCCTTCGGGCCTTAGTGATCCGACGTGTTGACTTTTCACTACTGGGTCCCCAGAAGTCCCGATCTTTTCGCCAAAGCGGGTTGTGCATCCTGAGCTGTTTATTGACAGCCTCAGGGCCCAGCGAGGGCCCCCAGATGCTGAGAACGACGAGAAACTTGCGTGCTGATCTGTTCGATACGTAGGATGTGGGGGGTCCCCATCCGTTGGGGCCCCATCTTTGAATCGCCGACTGACGGTTCTCTCCCTGCGGGGGGGGGAAGTGGGCGGGGGGGGAGTCATCGAGAATATAGTACATGTGTCCTAACCCTGATGACATATTGGAGACGTAGCCTAACTTAGGTCCCCGTTCCTTGCATTGCGGATATTCAATATGCGTGGTTTGGTTTGGCACATCTGTCGAAGAGCCCCCCTATCCATAATGAGTTAGGCTTCTCAACTTAGGTCCGCTCCCAAAGGTTTAGGGGCTTCTTTAAGAGATCGTTACTTTATTCATTCGGGCGCAACGCGTGTTACACCCCCCCCGACCCCCCCCCTACACACACACACACACACACACACACGCACACACACACACACACGTAACGGTACCCGCTACAGGCGTGAAAGTTTGCACGTCCCCATAGAGAAGGTGGAGGAGGAGCAGCAGGAGCAGCAGGAGCAGCAGCAGCAGGAGGCGGAGGAGGATGATGATGATGATGAGAAGGAGGAGGAGGAAGAGGAGAAGGAGGAGGAGGAGAGGGAGGAGGAGTTGTGTAGGAGGTGAGGAGGGGGAGCAGGAGGAGGAGGAGGAGGGGCAGGAGAAGGGGGACGGAGGAGGAGGTGGAGAAGGAGGAGGAGGAGGACGAGGAGGAAAAGGAGGGGCTGAAGGAGGGGGAGGAGGAGGAGGACGACGAAGACGACGACGACTGACGTGGCCCGGAGGCCCCGAGAGGTGCACGCAGACACGGGGGCCTCGTGGGGCACACGGTTGTTGCCGTTGCTGTTGCGGCAACAGGTGGAATACAGAAACGTCATGGTGCACCCAGGCGTCGGGGTGCACGCAGGGCGAGCTCACACAGATAGCACGCAGGCTCGGTGGTGTACACAAGCGTTGCGGTGCACGTGGTTGCTTCTTGTACGCGGGCATTACGGTGCACGCAAGCGAAAGTGTACACGCAAGCGCAATTGTACGACTATTTCTCCTACTACTACTACTACTGCTGCTACTACTACTACTACTACTACTACTACTACTACGACTACCTACTATCATTACTACTACTACTACTACTACTACTACTACTACTGCTACTACTACTCCTACTACCACTTTACTACTACTGCTACTATTATTACTACTACGACTACTACTTCGACTACTACTACCACTACTTGTACTACTACTACTACTACTACTACTACTACTACTACTACTACTACCACTACCACTACCACTACCACTACTGCTACGATTACAAGTGTTACTAGTCGGGCTAGTAGTACTACTACAAATACAATTACAATTACTACCACTACTACTACTACTACTACTACTACGACTACTACTACTACTACTACTACTACTTCTACTACTACTACTACTACCACTACTAGTAATACTATTTCCTACGATTTCTATTTTTATTGCGGCTACAATTTCGACTACTCCTACGACTACGACTGCTATCAGTATTACCACTCGTACAAAACTACTATTACTACTT